TTAAAACCAAGCTGGAGCCTTAAAGGAACAGGACACCGGGATTGTCTCACCATCCCTCTCCCTGACCTACCCCCAACCAAGATCAGTCTCTCTCTGGCTAGCTCTCTTCCAGAGCCATGATGAAGAATCATGGATATTCCTGAGCTTATACCTGGATTCTCTCTCCACGCTGCCTGTGGCAGGGTGCCAACTTCTATCCTGGAGAAACCTATAATTTACATGTTCATTTAGCTAGAAGTCTAAATGTATGGAAATTTGGTATTCTTCAGTTTAGTGAAAACACCATCCTCATTATATGGTGTTTAATAATGTTTAAAAACATCCTTTTTACATATTGTGATACAGTGTTTCATGTTTCAAAAACCAAGGCCTTTTCCTAGAAAATAGTTTTTCGTGTCTTACATAAAAAGTGTAAGAACCTTTTGTCTATGTCTTGGGCATGCCTTTGACATCATAGATTTGTAAACTGGAAAACTGGACATAGAATCCATGTCTTATCACTTACTTTTTAAAGTGTTTTTAGGGACATCGAACAGTCTATGCTAAGCAGTCTGGTCATGCTGGAAGGTGAACTTTTACAGGTTTGAGGGGGAAAGGTGCACAGATTCTTTTTGAGGGGTTCCATATGTAACATTTATGTACTAAAATTACCACTGACAGGTCACAGTGTAAATTAAATCGTGTTCCTCTTATTGACTAGAGACTGCTCAGATAACACTTTAATGATTGCCTTTGAGTCCTAAACCAGACAATGCTAACTATTTAGGCCCCTTCTGGACTTTAGAATATTCTGTGTACATGGAACATTTGCTCAGCTTTCCTTGGAACATCAGCCTCATTTCTGCACCTCCACCGCACTAGTGTTGCAGTGGTCTCACTCATCTTGCTGCCTCTATCTTGTCTCGTACTGAAATCTGTCTTCCACATTCTACTCAGTGATCCTTCGTATCATCCTGTCTTTCCCCTGCCTAGAATCTTCAAAAGCTGCCCATTGTTTGCAAAGTGAATTCCAAGTTTCTTAAAATGATTCACGGGGCTCATTCATTGCTCAGCATTCCCCATTTTACAAATTGTATTCTTGGAATCCCAACTCTGAGTTTTTTCTGCAAACTATAGAAATAGCTATCAGTTCAACCATTGTGGAAGACAGTGTGGCAATTCCTCAAGGACTTAGAAATAGAAATTCCATTTGACCCAGCAATCCCATTACTGGGTATATATCCAAAGGATTATAAATCATTCTACTATAAGGACACATGCACACGAATGTTCCTTGTAGCACAGTTTATAATACCAAAGACCTGGAAGCAACCCAAATGCCCATCAATGATAGACTGGACAGGGAAAATGTGGCACATATACACCATGGAATATTATGCAGCCATAAAAAACGATGAGTTTGTGTCCTTTCTAGGGACATGGATGAACCTAGAAACCATCATTCTCAGCAAACTGACACAAGAACAGAAAATCAAACACCACATGTTCTCACTCATAGGTGGGTGTTGAACAATGAGAACACATGGACACAGCGAGGGGAGCATCACACACTGGGGTCTGCCAGGGGAAATAGGGGAGGGACAGCGGGGGGTGGGGAGTTGGGGAGAGATAGCATAGGGAGAAATGCCAGATATAGGTGATGGGGAGGAAGGCAGCAAATCACACTGCCATGTGTGCACCTATGCAACAATCTTGCATGTTCTTCACATGTACCCCAAAACCTAAAATGCAATTAAAAAAAAGAAATAGCTACATGTCCTTGTCCATGTTTCTTTGCTAGGTAAGCTCTTTACACCCTTCTTTTCCTGTTTAATTCTCATCCACCAAGGCTCACCATCGGCAACATCTATTCCTTAGAACTCTCACCCACCCTCTGCATATGACTAAGTCCTCTTGATGGTGCTCACACAGCAACTGTAGCATGTTCAATAAATGACGTTCTGTGGGGTGGTGTAATGTGAAAGATGCAGATGACCAATTTGACAGTAATTCTTCAACGTGTTCTTCCCCTAATGCCAAGTTAATCTAGACTGTTACAGAGTACATTTTATTCTGGAGGTTATATTAGAGACATTGTTTCATAAACTAATCATTTTCAAAAGTTTCTCTGGTAAGGTACATGATTAAAATAAACGTTTGGACAACATTCACCATTGCTATAGTTTGTTCACACAACTTCTAAATTTTCCTTTCTAATTCCTTGTTTTGTATTGCACCACTATTTTACCCAAGTTTGTTCCAGTACTTTCATTTACTGAGCTCTAATCAGCAACACCAAAATCTTTTAAAGTGCAGTTAATAATCAAAAAGAGTCTGCTCCTGGTGGGAAAAATATGGAAGACTTCTGTGGTATCCGGCTACCCTGTATTACAGAGTGGATTACAGATTGGGACACTGTCTCTGCAAAGAGCCGGATTATTAATATTCCAGGCTTTGTAGGCCATGTGGTTGCTGTCACAACTACTCAGCTCTGCAGTTACAACAGAAAAACAGCCATAGACAATAAGCAGAAAAGTTAGTATGGTGATTCCAATATAAGTTTATTTACAAAAACAGGCAGCTTGGGACCACAGTTTGCCAACACCCTGTGTCATTTGGAGACTTATTTCAGTTGAGGATTTAGGCAGTCTCTATTCAGGTTCAGAAACATTTTCCAACTGCACATGATCCAGAGGTAAACACTTTGAAGGCCACTCATACTATATTATATAATGTACTTTTATCAGAAGCAGAAGCTGAGGGAATAAAATTATGTAAGGCTCCATTTGCTTTTGTAACAACTCTCAAAGCTCAGCATAACAGGAGTTGCATTCAAGTGTTCCTGAAATTTCTTTCCTGTGAAATTTCTTGATGGTGAAATTTCTTAATGGTGTTCTGGCACTAAAGAATGAGCACTATAAATCATGTTCATGTTCTCAGCCAGTAGTATAATTTTTAGGAAATATCCTAAGCCAATGACACCAGGAGAGCAAAATCAGTGTGACCAATGATATTTAGAAAAGATGTGTTCATTAACATTAAAAGTTTAAAGTAATCCATTCAGGAAATGGACTGACAGCATGGAGGACTTTGGGAGAATCTTTTTTATGGCAGTTGTGTGGAGCACATTGATCATTGAAAATGTCACTTTGAAAATTACAAGGAAGAAATGTCCAATGGCAAAATATGTGTTTACATGATTTCAAACATGTAACAGTCAGAATATACAAATTCTGTCAATCAATATTCAGTATTTATTGAAGAAGAGTCTACTGTGAGCAAGTTTCTGATCTGAGAACCAGGAACATGGGAGTGAGTAAAGTGGACCAAACTTTCCACCCTCTCATTTTCTCATAAGACAGAGATGGATATGGAGGATCAAAGGGATTTTAGCAATTGAAATACTTGGAATTTTAATATCATGGCTTGTTGGGGGCCAGAATTTGTCAAGTTCCTGGTATATATCAAGTACTCTTCCAGGCACAAAATACAGTGTGAACAAAATATGTACATACCCCTGCACTGTTGGAGCTACATTCAATGGAGGCGACAGAACCAAAGGAAATAAGTAAAATATACAGAAGGTGACTCAGGGACAGGGGCAAAGGAGGAAATCAAGATATAAAATGCTGGGAGAAGGTGGACTTTTAGATTGGGTGATCAGGATTTCTTGAGAAGTTGACTCTTGATTAACTAATTAAAGAAGATGAATGAGCTGGCAAGGTGTAATTTTGGGAGAAGGTCATTCTGTGCAGAAGGATTAGGAAGTGCAAAGGCCCCAAGATGGGAGTGTGCCTGGAGTGGCCAAGGAACACCAGGGGGGCTGTTGGTTGCTTGGAGTGAGTGAAGGGTGGGAGGAAATCAGATGGAAGAGGTAACAGCAGAACAGTCACATTCCACCTTTTAAGACATTGTATGGATGTTGGTTTTTAATCTGAAAAACAAGAAGACATTGGACAGTGTGGAGCAAAGGGGAGAAATGGTCAGGTTTGCATTAAAACAGTTCCTGCTGTTGAGAGTTAACAACAGATATAGGGAGGCTTTTAGGAGGCTGCTGAAATAATCCAGGGACAAATGATGTCATCTCAAGTGGAGCATCTCAAGACATAGAGACACTGAGAGAAAGATAGAATAGAGGTGTGGTAAGGGCCAGTGTTCCCATTGCCAGGGCCCACCTGCCACAAAGGGTGAGATAAGTCAGGTGCATTCCTTACTGTAGCTTTATTTCCAGTAGGAGGCACAGGGAGGATTTTCTAGGCAAGAAAGCACTGGGTCACTCACCAGCACATCTGTTCTCAGATCTTGATACCCAGCTGGAAGGGGCGGGAAGGAAGAGGACTCCTCCCCTACAAGCTTTCCAGGCCAGAGCCTGCCATTGCCAGCTGTGTGGAGCAGGCCTGGAGAGGAGCACCCCTGCCAAAGTAACGATAAGCCTTTGCTCACTGTGGCTTCACTCACCCAGCTGGGATCTTCGACTTCTGTGGTTGCCTTTAATGCTCTGAACAGCCCCCTCAAGCAGGGCAGATCACCTTCATTTCACAGCTGTGGAAATTCAGGGAGACTGAGTAGCAAACACAGATTTGAAGAGCTGGGGCACTGGTGTCCCATCCCATGCTCTGGGCATGCAGGAGGGAGTAATGTGTAGAGAGACAGTATCAGGCACAACCAAGTTCTTAATTTAGGTTGGTTTTAAATGTAGAAATACATGAAAGAATATAAAATCGTATTTCTATTTCGTGGCTGCCTCCTGCTACGGAACACTCTTCTCACCATTCTGTCCTGAATCATTTTCCGACATTTTCCCACCTCTGGTTATTTATTCACGAATTGGCACCTTCAACATTTGTTGATGTTTTAAGAATGCTTCCATTTCCAATGACCTATGTTAAAGTGACAGAGCAGTAAAGATTCCATTAAACCGTTTCTTTCTGTCTTGAACCTTTATAAAAGTACCATGACCACCTTTTACTGTTAAAAAGCTTAAGACTGATTGTAATTGAACTTTTTATTTTTATTTTTAGGGAACAACTTAATTCTTTATTGAAGACCTATAACATTTTCTATAAGAACCAGAAAAATCTGCATATTTTATATGGAGAGGTAAGCTCATTGAAGAAAGGCAATCCAGTTTTATTCACACACACACACACACCCAATTCTGCAAGAAACAGGTGAAAGTTTAACTTGATTATGATTCTTATTTTTAGACTTGGGCTTGGAACACTTGTCACTTTCTAAGCTGTTTTGAGATAGAAAACATTTAAAAATTTTAATGGCATATTTTCTATTTTAAAAATAGAGTACAAATATTTTTAACAGCATTTCCACTGAAGATTTATCACAATACATTCTTACAAATGCACCAAAATGTATATAGAAAGATATTCACTGTGATGTCATTTGTAATGGAGAAAATTTGAAGATGTCACTACTACTAATTAGGGATTATTCAAATAAATCATGATGCATCTGTAATGTCAAATATGATTTGTTTTTTTAAATAAATGGATTAGATTCCAATAAATCTGCACTGTATCAAAATAAAAATTTAAAAATATTAAAGAAAGAATTAGGAAAGTCCTGAAGCTAAAAAGCATTTAAATTGTAAGTTCAGGGGTACAAGTGCAAGTTTGTTACATGGGTAAACATGTGTCATAGTGTTTTGTTGTACAGATTACTTCATCATCCAGCTATTGAGCCTACTACTCATTAGTTATTTTTCCCGATCCTGTCCCTCCTCCCAATTTCCACCCTCTGATAGGCCCCAGTGTCTGTAGTTCTCCTCTATGTGTTTATGTGCTCCCATCAGTTAGGTCCCATTTATAAGTGAGAATATACAGTATTTGGCTTTCTGTTCCTGTGTCAGTTTGCTAAGAATGATGGCCTCTAGCTCCATCCCTGCAAAGGACATGATCTTGTTCTTTTTTATGGTTGCACAGTATTCCATGGTGTACCTATACTATATTTTCTTTATCCAGTCTATCATTGATGGGGATTTAGGCTGAGTCCATGTTTTTACTATTATAAATAGTGCTGCAATGAACATATGTATGTGTGTGTCTTTATTTTATTTATTTATTTATTTTGAGATGGAGTTTCGCTCTTGTTACCCTGGCTGGAGTGCAATGGCGCGATCTCGGCTCACCGCAACCTCCGCCTCCTGGGTTCAGGCAATTCTCCTGCCTCAGCTTCCTGAGTAGCTGGGATTACAGGCACGCGCCACCATGCCCAGCTAATTTTTTGTATTTTTAGTAGAGACGGGGTTTCACCATATTGACCAGGATGGTCTCGATCTCTTGATCTCGTGATCCACCTGCCTCGGCCTCCCAAAGTGCTGGGATTACAGGCATGAGCCACTGCGCCCGGCCCGTGTGTGTCTTTATAATAAAATGATTTATTTTCCACTGGGCATATACCCAATAATGGGATTGATGGGTCAAATGGCATTTCTGTCTTTAGGTCTTTGAGGAATGAACATACTGCCTTTCTGAATGATTGGACTAATTTATACTCCCACCAGCAGTGTATAAGGGTTCCTTTTTCTCCACAAACTCACCAGCATCTGTTATTTTTTGACTTTTTAGTAATAGCCATTCTGACTGGTGTGAGATGTTATTTCATTGTGGTTTTGATTTATATTTCTCTAACGATCAATTATGCAGAGCTTTTTCATATGATTGCTGGCCACATGTATGTCTTCTTTTCAGAAGTGTCTGCTCATGTCCTTTGCCCATTTTTTAATGGGGTTGTTTGGTTTTTTTTCCTTGCAAATTTGTCTAAGTTCCTTGTAGATGCTGAATATTAGATCTTTGTCAGATGCATAGTTTGCAAAAATATTCTTCCATTCTGTAGATTGTTTACTCTGTTGGTAGTTTCTTTTACTGTACAGAACTCTTTAATTAGGTTCCATTTGCCAGTTTTTGGTTTTGTTGCAATTGCTTTTGCCATCTTCATCATGAAATCTTTGCACATGTCTATGTCCTGGATGTTGTTACCTAGGTTATACTCCAACGTTTTTATAATTCTAGGTTTTATATTTAAATCATTAGTCCATCTTGATTTAATTTTTGCATATGGTGCAAAGAAGGGGTCCAGTTTTAATTTTCTGCATATGGCTAATCAGTCATCTTAGCACCATTTATTGAATAGGGAATCCTTTCCCCATTGCTTGTTTTTGTCAGATTTGTTGCAGATCAGATATTTGTAGGTATGCAGTATCATTTCTGGGTTCTCTATTCTGTTCCATCAGTTTGTGTGCCTGTTCTTGTACCAGTACCATGCTGTTTTGGTTACTGTAGCTCTGTAGCATAGTTTGAAGTTAGGTAGTGTGATGCCTCCAGCTTTGATCTTTTGCTTAGGATTGCCTTGGCTATTCAGGCTCTTTTGGATCTATATGAATTTTAAAATAGTTTTTTCTGTGAAGAATATCAATGGTAGTTTAATGGAAATATCATTGAATCTATAAATTGCTTTGGGCAGTATGGCCATTGTTTTTCCATTTCTTTGTGTCATCTGTCATTTCTTTGAGCAGTGACTTAAGTTCTCTTTGTAGATGTCTTTCACTTCCCTTGTTAGCTGTATTCCTAGGTATTTTATTCTTTCTGTGGGAATTTGTTTGGGATTTGGCTCTCTTTTTGGTGTATAGGAATGCTAGCAATTTTTGCACATTTATTTTGTATCCTGAGACTTTGCTCAAGTTGCTAATCAGCTTAAGAAGCTTTTGGGCTGAGATGATGGGGCTTTCTAGATATAAATCATGTCATCCGAAAACAGGGATACTTTGACTTCCTCTCTTTCTATTTGAATGCCCTTTATTTCTTCAAAGCATTTTTAGGAGTGCAACTGGCAGGCTAGTGTACAAAGTGGCCTTATGTTTACTTTTTTCTTTTAAAAAAAAATTTCAGTGCTTCATTCTCCACAGGTCTCTTCACTCAGCCTTGTATTCTGATGGGGCTCACTTTACATATTTACAATATCTTCTGGCCGGAGGACATTAGAATTTTCTACTTCTGATATAAATCTTCAAATTTCATGTCACAGCATGGACTTTAGGCAACCATGGTTAAATCTGCAGTTTAGATGGAAGATAATTTACAAAGCACTCTGGCCTTTTCTACTAAGTTAAATGATTTAGTTCAATTGGGTATTTAAATTACTTCCCCAAATTCAATAACATACTTAATTAAATAACTAATCCCTTTATAAAGAAGTGGGCCTAATTTTAAGTTATTTCAGCATTGTCCTATATCTTAAATCTTTTATATATACTTATAAAAATATAACATTTAGGAAAAGATTAAAACTAGGAAAATGATTATTTATATTTTAATTCAAAAGTTTCCACAAAATTCATGATGTTAAATTTGTTCTCTTTCGGTAAATGTTTGAGTTTTGGTGTTATGAACATTTAAGTTGAGGCATATTCTTTTCAATTCTGTACATCACTGCTCTATTTATAATACAAAAGTTTTTTAGGCCGGGCACAGTAACTCATGCCTATAATCCCAACACTTTGGGAGGCTGAGGCGAGCAGATCACCTGAAGTCAGGAGTTCAAGACCAATCTGGCCAGAAACCTTGTCTGTACTTAAAAAATACAAAAATTAACCAGATGTGGTGGCACATGCCTGTAATCCCAGCTACTGGTGAGGCTGAGACAGGAGAATCAGCTGCACCCAGGAGGTGGAGGTTGCAGTGAGCCAAGATCACACTACTGTACTCCAGCCTGGGCAACAGAGGAAGATTCTGTGTCCAAAAAAAAAAAAGTTATTTAATTTTTAAAAATAGTTTCATGTTTTATATAATTTTTAAAGCTGTATAAAGTGATAAGTGTACATTGAGGCTATCAGACTTTTCAATCTTTACATACTGGTCAATAAAGTTATAATTCAGAATTTTTCAAATCTTCTGACACTGTTTAAAAGGGGCAGTCCTTGGATGACAATATGTGGCTTTATTCATCTTTGATTAATCAATCAATTAATGAAACAAATATTTATTGAGTGTCTACCATGTACCAGATACCATTTTAAAAGCTGGAGATATAGTAATGAAGAATTTAACAACCTCAGCAGAGTAGTGAGTTTTTTTTTTCAGAGTTTCTATGAATTTTTGATATAAAGGCTTAATTGAGTTCTAGTTAAGCAGAGAAAGAATGCTATCCACCATTAACTAAACTATATAATCTATATTATGCACAGTCATTTCAAGAAACAAATTGTGTTTGGTTGCTGAAAAAGACTGGTAACTAACCTCTTAGTACTCTGAAATGCAAATCTAAAGTGGAAGGAACGTGAAACATTGTTTCAGGAGTGATTCCAAAGGAAGTTTAACAGCCAAAGAAATAATAAACAGTAATATAGAGCACCTATTGAATTCCAGGTGTATGAATTAGGAATTATCATAATGTCTGTTTTTCAGATAAGAAAACCCAAGCTTAAAGGTGGCCAGCAGCTTGTCCAAGGCCACAACTAGGAAGAGGCAGAGTCAGGATTTGAGCACAGGTTTATGCGATTTCAGAGTCTGGAGTTTTCATTACACTCTCAAATAAGAATTGAGTTATTAAATGCTGTCTAACAATCAACTTTTCATAATATTAATAATAGTTAATGGATGTTAAAATAGGTATTTTGTGGCTGGCATATGCCTTTTGTTAGTTTCTGTATTTTTCAAAGCTTTTATAACAGAAAACATTACTTTAACATTGGAAAATGATATATATATACAATGACTGTTTATCCTTTAATTCAAAAGTATCCACAAAATTCACGATATTAAGCTTGTTTCCTTCTTCTATTATACTATACTTCTAATTTTAAAGAAATTCTTCAAATGCTGTTGTTTTTACAAAAATATTCTATCTAGCCAGGTGTGATGGCTCACACCTGTAATCCTAGCACTTTGGGAGGCTGAGGTGGGTGGATCAAGAGGTCAAGAAATTGAGATCATCCTGGCCAACATAGCAAAACCCTATCTCTACTAAAAATACAAAAAAATAAAATAAAATTAGCTGGGCGTGATGGCATTTGCCTGTAGTCCCAGCTACTCAGGAGGCTGAGGCAGGAGAATCACTTGAACCCGGAAGGCGGAGGTTGCAATGAGCCAAGATCATGCCACTGCACTCCAGCCTGGTGACAGTGTGAGACTCCTCTCAAAAATAAAATCATATCTATAATGTTTTGAATTTTACAGCATGGCTTCACATATATTATTTTACCTGTTCTGCATAACTTTATGAGTTAAATTTTTTTCTGTTCAGAAATGAGGAAATAGCTGCTAAATCTTTAAACAGTTTTTTTCTGATTTCTAGTTCATTACAGTTTTTAAATCTGCTTTAATTTTAAATTAAACAAAATTAGAGAATTAAAATTCCACTTAATTGAAGAACCGTAGTGTTCAGAAAGTATTTTAACATACTGTACCCTCTGGTGGACATGCCATTACCATTTTGATTTACTCACTTTGCTGGGTATCGCTGTTTCCAAAAATAAAAGAATATTTTAAAAATAGAATTGTTTTGTAGATAAAGTGGAAAGCCAGACAATACCCCTGGGATTTCTTTTTAACCTATTAAGGTTTCTTATGCACTTAATTTCTACATCTTAAGTTAAAACATTTACCTTCTATAAATAATACAAAAACAATCGGGGGGATTATTGATTTCTTCCTTAGACTGAAGATGGCAAACTAATGGTTGAAGGAATGCTGGACATATTCTGGGGAGTAAAACGACCTATACAGCTAAAAATACAAGATGAGAAGCCATTCTCTTCTTTTACCACGATGAAGTTACCAGATGTCTTCTCCAGCAAAGGGTAAGCTATTGTTCATGTTTGTAATTCCTCAGAAGATGATCTTCATATCTAGTTTTATTGTGTGCACTCTTAATGAAGGAAACTTAGGCTTGTGTGGAAATGATTATACAAAATCTCACTTTATTTCCCAGCAACTCCATTAAGTAAGTGTTTAGAAACCAGGGTTTTTCAAGATTAGTTAATTTGTGCAAGATCTGCAATTACAATGTGGCAGAACTTACTTCTGTCTGGGCTCCGCAGCCTGTGGTCTCGACTCCTCTACTCTTGTTATTTCTTTCCTGGAGTCTGTATTCCCTCATTGGAAAAGACAAAATATAAAGGCAGAATTTGATTTACCCTGGCCTGGTTTCTAAAATAAGAGAATAAAATCTAAATGTCTTATTTCCTTGGAACAAAGGGCTCATCGTGCTTTGTACCAGGGAAACTTAATGATGCTCCATCTGATGGTCCCAATCCTTTCCAACAGAATACCCCAAAATGCATTTGAAGTTAAATAAATAGACAAAACAGTCCTCTGTGTGAGTTTATGCAAGTGTACCTTGGATATCCAGGTTGGGCTAATTTTTTCCTTACTCCTTTACAAGTTTTAGAAAAATTAATAAATATCCCCAGCAAGAATCATACCTATATAAAAGTTCCTTTCATCCTTTTTTCCATCCCTTCTTCTTTTTTAGTCCTTTACTCTCCAGCTTAACCTACTTTGTATATACATTGAGATTCCAAGCCTTCTTTTCATACCATTTATCCTCCCATCATTGTTAGATGAGCTGGCATCCTATCAGAGGAGACAATGGAGAAAGGCCTGCTGGGATAGTTTGCCCTATGTGATCTTTGGCTAAGGAAAATCAGTTATCACCTTAACAGAAATCTGCTTTTCATTTGGAAAACAATATTTAAGCACTACTATGATTTTCACCTTGCCAGTATTTCTCAAACATTACACTACTGCTGTGCTGAATGTTTCGTAATTCCCTAAACATTTCATGCGATTTCTAATTTTCCTGACTCTACCTGGAAGTCTACCTGCTTCTCCACACCAATTTTCCTGACTGTCCTCCAACAATCCTTTAAGACTCAGCTCAGGTAACATGTTCTCCAGAATGCAATTCCTGACCCCTCAGTCTATACTAGGTGCACCGAAAACTTTTCTGTATCACTTGACACACATGCAGTCAATTTTATTTTTGAATACTTGTCTCCTTGTCTATAGTGTAAGCTTCTTAGCAGTAGGGAATGTGCCTGGCACAAAGAAGAGATTCAAAACATAGAATAGAGTAAAATCCCCAGAAGCCTGTGGTTAAATGACGTCTGCTTTGTTGTGACTATTTGGTCCCTCTGTCTATCTCTTGTTTCCTATCCAAGCTAAGGATTACCAATGAACTTAGGGCTCAGAGCCTAAGGAAGAACAGAAGGGAGGCTGCAGGCTGAGGCAGACTGAGAAAGCCCCGTATTTCTCACTTCAGGCACCTGATGACTGATAGGGCTGATGATTCTAAATAACGAGGAGCATCATTTAAAAGGACAAAATACTCATGGGATCTGCTTTCGGGAAAGTATACAAGATATGAATTTACAAAATTAACTACCATACGTTGTATTACCTAAGACTTCATTGCAAAATTCTCTGATCAGCCACATCTGTTTGATGCATTTTAATTTTTTAATTCATGAAAATGTAATAAATATCAAACATTAAAGGAAAATGTCAAAGAGATGAAGTAAGGTAATTGTATCACCTTAAGCCATCATTATTTTGAATGGCTTTACCAAGATATGTTCTAAGTTTTATTTTATTTTTAATTGACAAAAAATAATTCTATACATTTACGTAATACAACATCTTTTATGCATATATGCATTGTAGAATGAACAAAACAGGTTAATTAACATATCAGTCATCTCAAATATTTATCTTTTTTGTGGGGAGAATAGAAAATATAAAAACTTTTCTCCTTTAACTCTTTTGAAATATACAATATGCTATTATTAACCAAGATATTTTTTAAGTTCTCAAATGTAAAATCCATGTTCCTAGCAATTCTGAATTTTTGAATGAGTTTCAAGAACCCAAGTGGACAAAGTAATATGCCTCTCCATATACTGCCACAGGTTCTAAAATAATATCCTTGGGATACATCTGCTATAGGATCCATTTATATTTTACATTGTTTATTAGTATATTGCTATGAAACAAACAGGAATTGGCTCTCTTTTTGTTTAAAGTTGAGAAAAATTACCTAGAAACCTTTATCAGCTTGTCCTTTTCCAAAGTAACAAGACTGACCATAGAACATTTGGCAAAAAAAGAATCCATTCTTTATACATACACACAGAGCCACACGCACACAAGAGCAAGATTAGATTTGGTTGTCATTAATTTGCCAAGAATATTTCCTGGGAGCCAGCTGAACACTCAGGCAGGAAGGCATGGCATAACTGGAAATGACTTTTCCCCGGCTATGCTTTGCTAATGGGGTAAGGTATCATTTCTGTTGTTGTTTCAGTCCAATCCTAGACACCCTCCCTCTGGTTTTTTCATTTAAGATAACATCCGTTTAAATTCTCAACCTTTAATTGTGAAAATAAATTGACTATTTCCTTACTCTTAGACTTCTCCTGTTTTCTTTTTCCCACACTGGGCATCTCTGGGCAAAACGTATACCTCTGCTCTTGCAAGATGACAGATTTTATATCTGCAGCAAGTAAACGTGGAGTAAATGACACGGAACTTCAGCAGCAGGAAGGGCTGTAATCTTATGTCTTTCAGTTCACTCTTTGAGAGAATCGTTTGTGTTGTCACGTTAGTTTGTTTAAATTATGTTTGAAATGAATCACACGGAGGAAGTATGAGCTTAATTGGAGTGAAGAAGCTTTTTAAAAAATCAATCTATTTGAGCTCTGACCACTTGCTACCCTTTATGGAAACAATTCTACGGGCAGTGCTTTGACCTCTCATATCTAGTACAAGTGTTTTTGAAATCTTTCATTAACGAAAGGAAAGAACAGCCTTGTTAAGGTTGTATTTGCTTACACTATTTTTCACTTCTGTTTTTAATCTTTCCAAACTCAGCTTTTGCATATTTTGGACAAGTCATGGCAGAATAACATAAAGAGCATGAACTGGACAGGTGTACATTTGAATAATGTCAGTGGTGGGTTTTTTTCTTACAATATGGGAGGGAAGTGACCATATTCTATTTGTCTATCAAAATTCTACCTCCTTTTCATTTTTAAACTCTTTAGAAAACCTCCTCACAGTTTAAATTTGCAAATGACCATACATCCTGAACTTTGGTCAGAGCAACAGAAGTCTCATGTTTGGGCAAGTTAAACCATTTGATATTACATTAAGTTCCAACCAGTTTTCTCTTGAAAACTCTGGATAACTGCCCTAGAGCTTAGTCATGTGCACAGTTGCATGGGGTGGCACTTCAAATTACACAATCCAGAGCTGAAAACTAGTGTTTTCTGCTGTAGATGGTGGAAAAGATAAGAGGCCAAACACAGAATATATTGGACCACTTCTGGCGGCCTGTATTTGTGTGACAACGCTAAGCTGTTACGTCTGCCAGGGTCACCAAGAATTTGCCTGGCATCCCAGGGATTCTTATCTTTAGCCTTATGAAATAGCATCACATTACTTTGCATTTTTGGTTTCTGTTTTTCATTGGTATTACCTTTTCCATTGCTAACCTTCCTTCTATGATAATTATACCTGCCACTTTCTGATTATTAAGCTGCTATAAATTGGGGGAAATGGATAATTTTATCTGCCATAAGACTAATTAGATTGTGGTAGTTTTTCTTTGAGTTAAAGTTATTACCTACAGTTGGGCTTTATAACATTTGTTTGGATTGGCTGTATTCTGAAATTAACAAATATATTAGGATTACTTTCTACCTCATAAGACTATTCTGAGACTCAAGTGATATAATAACCATAAAATAGACTTCAAAATAATTCAAAAGTAAAGAAGAAAGGGGATGATTCTTTTCATATTCACTGCCATTACTTTTTGTTGCCACCAGTGACATTTGGGAAAAGTCAGTGCCACAAATTCCCTATAAGTGAATATATTTTAGTCATAAGGAAAACAAACATTATTGAAGAGACTCTTAAATAATAGCAACCATTTGCCTAGAAAGATCCGGGAACACTTTGGGTCCCTAATGGTTCCTGGCCCATCAGAAATGAAACAGATAGAGATGCTGGTGATGATGATGATGATGACAACAACGACGACAACGGAGATGAGGATAATTATAATTATTTTTAATCCATATTGAATGCATACCATTTCAGACCGTTTCAAGAATTTTATACAAATTAACTCTTTTCATCCTCACAACCACCCTATCCTACCTCATACCATTATCATTTCCATTTTACAGATGAGGACACAGGCACAGAGAGAATAAGAAAGTTGTTTGAGACCCGATAAATAAAATAAAATTGAGTTTTGACCTGCTGTAAAAATAAACACTTGTCAGGTTCCATTTGTTCTGAGCACTAGAATGCACTTAAAATTGTTAGTTTTTCTGTGAAATAATAATTTTCTGGCCAAGTATCTCATACATTTTCCTTCTTTGTAAACTACATTCTTCATGGTAATCAAGAGCCTTAAAAGATAGGCCCCATATTTTCTCATTTTAGAGCCACTCTACCTAACACTGTTTTGAATGCAATAGGTACTCAATACATATTGACAGAATGCATAAAAAATACTTTTATATCTAAACTCTCCTAAGAGTATTATCCAATATCTCATAACAATTGATCATCTTAGTTTCTGCTAATTCGATTTGAACGTATGTTTTACAGAATCTATAAAACTTGCACTTCAGTGTGTAACTGAATTATTATATCAAGAAGATATGCTCTGTAAAAGTACAGGAAGTATTTAAAATACCTACTGACCACTGGTATGAATATAATTTTAACATCATAAAATTGTTATAACTTTGGATGATATATCCACCTACAGAGGCCCACAGTATTACTTTATTAATACTGTAAATCTAGAAACCATCGTGGGCTTCAATATGAATGGAACTGATGTTACTTACAAGATTTCTTACTTTTCAGAATGACACGCTGGGGGGAATTTGATGATCTCTATCATATTAGCGAACTGGACAGGACCCAGATTCCAATGTCTGAAACAAGGAATTCCCAGGAAGGTCAGTATCAAAATGTTATTAATTGGGAGACTTAGTTTTTAATTAGTGTAAAGTATGACCCTATATGTTTCCCTGAAATCTAACGTTTTTCATACCACTACACAATAAACTCCTGTTTCATATGTACATATATTTTATAAATGTCTTAGGAGCATAGTAACTTAAGTCACTGTAGCGCTTGTATGATGTTGAAGAACCTTACTTTGGTATATAAAATGTAATTTTAAAAGCAATTATATTAAGTCACTTAAATTTATTAGAATAGGGAGAGCTAACAGTTTTAATAAAGTTTGTACTCATGAAATTATTCAGTATTTTCCCCAAAGATTAGAATCATTTATTATTCTCAACAGCTGCATATGTTAGACCTAGCCCATCAGGCCTAATTATATATCTTTTTAGAAGTTGAACATTTTAGTTAGTTAATAGATATTTAAATAACTTCTCAGAAAGACACAGATATACTGGAGTCAATTTTAAATTTGATGAAGTTATTTCAAAGATATTTTTTAAAAGATAAATACAGGCCGGGCGCGGTGGCTCAAGCCTGTAATCCCAGCACTTTGGGAGGCCGAGGTGGGTGGATCACGAGGTCAAGAGATCGAGACCATCCTGGTCAACATGGTGAAACCCCGTCTCCACTAAAGATACAAAAAATAAGCTGGGCACGGTGGTGCGTGCCTGTAATCCCAGCTACTCAGGAGGCTGAGGCAGGAGAATTGCCTGAACCCAGGAGGCGGAGGTTGCGGTGAGCCGAGATCGCGCCATTGCACTCCAGCCTGGGTAACAAGAGCGAAACTCCGTCTCAAAATAAATAAATAAATAAATAAATAAATACATTGAAGGATCATATGGATTCATACTGAACTTGTCAAACCAATGGGAAATGCCAGCTCCAGTGACATGTGACATTAGTAATTGTAATCATAATGGTGATGATGTGAGAGTAATAATAATGATATTGATAGCTGTAATCCGTTGAGACTCTTCTAAGTATCAGGCATGATATTTTGTATTTTATATGAATTTTTTCATGTGATTCTCATATACACATCAGATTCAAAGAGTAGCAGATGCTGGTGATGGAAGCTAGAGTGAGGGGTGGTAGACACAGTTCATGTGCCTGAAATGGGGCTGTGATTTACCAAGTCAGTTCAATGTGAACAAGGGTATCCCACTAGTATTAACTTCATAAGCCCACCAGCAACTTCCAATGTTTGCTTTCTTTTTGTTCGGTGATTCTCAATTCTGCCTCCTCTCCTACTCCACAAGAACCCAGATCCTATGACTAACATGACGTTCCTTCCAGGGTTCCCTTATCTTTGTCTCATGGGATCTTTACATCTTGTTATATATGGGCCCTTCCAATTATCCTTTTAAAAATATCTATTAAACCTAAGGAAATCCCAGTATTTTGGCATCAAATACATCATAAAAATCTATTTGTATTTAAACACCAGTGTTAGATAAGGAAGAAATATCTCATTCCTATTTGATGACATTCTAATTACAATTGAAAATTATTTAAAATCCTAGAAACAAATAAGACACAAATGCCACCAAATGGTCTTATTCTTGCATCTGAATATGCACAGTAGAGGAAATTGTAAAAGGTGCTATCAACTGGATGCAAGCAGAAAGGGGACCAGAAGGCAGGTTTGAATCTCTGCATCTTAGGCTAGTAACACATTGTAACTCAATTCAATTCCATTTAAACACCTGCTGCCTACCCAATAGGCACTAGAGCTGTTCAATGCTGCATTATAATTTTATACTCTAAAATCTTCTGTAGGAATTGTAATAATTTAATAATAAAATTTTGACTAATAAATTATGAATCATTGTTGAATATACATCACTCAATGAGAAGAAATAATAAAAGAGTGGGCAACTAAGGTAAAAAGTTATTCATATCATACTTCTGGAATGTTCTAAAAGGAATATAATGTGAATTATCTTTGCGATATATTACTATGAATAGTGGGCACTAGTCCAAAGCATACTATTCCTTTTGCTTTTACAAAAGATGGTAAAATAAAATCTTTCAATGCTCTATATAGCATGTAAATGGCTTCTCAAAGAGCTTTCTGTAGTTTTATAGGAAAAATAAGGCCAACTGTTTATTTTTTAAGGGAAGATCCAATGAACTTGGAGCCAAAGTGTAATACGAATCCAGATCTGATTCTATCATAAGTACCATGTCCATAGGAAAGCCACTTCAACTCACTGTACTTTTCTTATCTATAAGAGATTAGATTGATAAAGTATCAGGTTTATTCTGGCTCTAATATTCTGAAATGCCATGAAATGCACCCCCCAATCAATTAAGATTAAAGGAATCCCCAAACCCCAAACATGGTAATTGTAACCATTTCTTATAAAACATAAGAATGAGACATAAGAATTTTATATGAGATACCAGCAGAATTTGCTATCTAAGTCAGTCTCAGGCAACATTTAATAATGGGCAGCTAAGCAGTGGACCATAATGCTTTTACACAGCCAGCAAATAGCAATATTCCTAAAATTAATGAAAGCATACATAAATCCACTCAGGAAGCTAGGAGACAAGCAACTAATTGATATGGGCTTATAATCTGTATTCTTCCCAGACTATTTATCTTATGGCATCAGCACCCTGAAGCCACATGCAGAGGATGAACCAGACTCCCCAATGCTCTATAGAACCATGAGTGAAGCAACCCTCGTGAGAAAAAGGATGAAACCTCTGATGATGGACAGAAAAGAAAGACAGAAAAATAGAGCCTCTATTAACGGACACTTCTATAACCATGAAGTAAGTGAGTTATAATTCCATTAATGTAATACAAAATAAGGTTGGCTATTTCATTAACAATACCACTCAATTCGATTTGCAATTTAAATTCATAACAATAATAGTAGCATGTCTAACATTTTGGGGGCACTCTCTATGTGCTAAATATTAAACTAAATGTTTTAAATTGATTTTTACTGAATTATCTTATTAATCACTAAAACAATCCTGTGAAATATGCACCATTATTTTCTCTGCTTGACATATAAGTTAATTGAGGCTTATGGAGATTAAGCAATTTGTCTAACTGATACTACTTTTAAGTAGTAACTCTCAACCTGAACCCAGCTTTGTCTGACTCCAGAACACAAGTTTTTTTTTCACTGTTTATTTATTTATTTTTTAACATATTTCTTTTTTTTATTGCATTTTAGGTTTTGGGGTATATGTGAAGGACAAGCAAGATAGTTGCATAGGTACACACATGGCAGTGTGATTTGCTGCCTTCCTCCCCTTCACCTATATCTGGCATTTCTCCCCATGCTATCTCTCCCCAACTCCCTATGCCCCGCTGTCCCTCCCCTATTCCCCCCAACAGACCCCAGTGTGTAGTGCTCCACTCCCTGTGTCCCTGTGTTCTCATTGTTCAACACCCACCTATGAGTGAGAACATGTGATATTTCATTTTCTGTTCTTGCATCAGTTTGCTGAGAATGATGTTCTCCAGGTGCATCCATGTCCCTACAAAGGACATGAACTCATCATTTTTGATTGCTGCATAATATTCAATGGTGTATATGTGCCACATTTTCCCTGTCCAGTCTATCATCGATGGTCATTTGGCTTGATTCCAGGTCTTTGCTATTGTAAACAGTGCTGCAATGAACATTCATGTGCATGTGTCCTTATAGTAGAATGATTTATAGTCCTTTGGATAAATACCCAGTAATGGGATTGCTGGGTCAAATGGAATTTCTATTTCTAGGTCCTTGAGGAATCATCACACTGTTTTCCACAATGGTTGAACTAATTTACACTCCCACCAGCAGTGTAAAAGTGTTCCTATTTCTCCACATCCTCTCCAGCATCGGTTGTCTCCAGATTTTTTAATAATCGCCATTCTAACTGGCGTGAGATGGTATCTCAATGTGGTTTTGATTTGCATCTCTCTGATGACCAGTGACGATGAGCATTTTTTCATATTATTGTTGGCCTCATATGTCTTCTTTCATAAAGTGTCTGTTCATATCCTTTGCCCACTTTTGAATGGGCTTGTTTGTTTTTTTCTTGCAAATCTGTTTGAGTTCTTTGTAAATTCTGGATATCAGCCCTTTGTCAGATGGGTAAACTGCAAAATTTTTTCCCATTCTGTTGGTTGCCTATTCACTCTAATGACTGTTTCTTTTGCTGTGCAGAAGCTATGGGGTTTGATTAGGTCCCATTTGTCTATTTTGGCTTTTGTTGCCAATGCTTTTGGTGTCTTGGTCATGAAGTTCTTGCCTACTCTTATGTCCTGAATGGTTTTGCCTAGATTTTCTTCTAGGGTTTTTATGGTGTTAGTTCTTATGTTTAAGTCTTTAATCCATGTGGAGTTAATTTTAGTGTAAGGTGTCAGGAAGGGGTCCAGTTTCTGCTTTCTGCACATGGCTAGCCAGTTTTCCCAAAACCATTGATTAAACAAGGAATCCTTTCCCCATTGCTTGTTTTTGTCAGGTTTATCAAAGATTGTATGGTTGTAGATATGTTGTGTTGCCTCCGATGCCTCTGTTCTGTTCCATTGGTCTATATCTCCGTTTTGGTAGTAGAACCATGCTGTTTTGATTACTGTAGCCTTGTAGTATAGTTTGAAGTCTGGTAGTGTGTTGCCTCCCACTGTGTTCTTTTTACCTAGAAATGACTTGGCTATGTAGGCTCTTTTTTGGTTCCATATGAAGTTTAAGGTGGTTTTTTCCAGTTCTGTGAAGAAGGTCATTGGTAGCTTGATGGGGATAGTATTGGATTTGTAAATTACTTTGGGCAGTATGGCCATTTTCATGAAATTGATTCTTCCTAACCATGAACATGGAATGTTTCACCATTTGTTTGTGTCCTCTCTTAATTCATTGAGCAGTGGTTTGTAGTTCTCCTTGAAGAGGTCCTTTACATTCCTTGTTAGTTGTATTCCTAGGTATTTTATTCTCTTTGTAGCAATTATGAATGGCAGTTCATTCTTGATTTGGCTCTCTTTCAGTCTGTTATTGGTGTATAGGAATGCTTGTGATTTTTGCACATTGATTTTGTATCCTGAGACTTTGCTGAAGTTGCTTATCAGTTTCAGGAGTTTTTGGGCTGAGACAATGGGGTCTTCTAGATATACTATCATGTCATCTGCAAATAGAGACAATTTGGCTTCCTCCTTTCCTATTTGAATACCCTTTATTTCTTTTTCATGCCTGATTGCTCTGGCTAGAACTTCCAATACTATATTGAATAGGAGTGGTGAGAGAGGGCATCCTTGTCTAGTGCCGGATTTCAAAGGGGATGCTTCCAGTTTTTGCCCATTCAATATGATATTGGCTGTTGGTTTGCTGTAAATAGCTTTTATTATTTTGAGATATGTTTCATCAATACTGAGTTTATTGAGGGTTTTCAGCATAAAGGGCTGTTGATTTTGTCAAAGGCCTTCTCTGCGTCAATTGAGATAATCATGTGGTTTTTATTTTTGGTTCTGTTTATGTGGTGAATTATGTTTATAGACTTGTGTATGTTGAACCAGCCTTTCATCCCTGGGATGAATCCTACTTGATCATGGTGGATAAGCTTTTTGATGTGCCGTTGCAATCGGCTTGCCAATATTTTATTGAAGATTTTTGCATCTATGTTCATTATGGATATTGGCCTGAAGTTTTCTTTTCTTGTTGAGTCTCTGCCGGGTTTTGGTATCAAGATGATGTTGGTCTCATAAAATGATTTGGGAAGGATTCCCTCTTTTTGGATTGTTTGGAATAGTTTCAGAAGGAATGGTAACAGTTCCTGTTTGTGTGTCTGGTAGAATTTGGCTGTGAACCTGTCTGGACCTGGGCTTTTTTTGTGTGGTAGGCTCTTAATTGCTGCCTCAACTTCCAATCTTGTTATTGGTCTATTCATGGTTTTGACTTCTTCCTGGTTTAGGCTTGGGAGGACTCAAGTGTCCAGGAATTTATCCATTTCTTCCAGGTTTACTAGTTATGTGCATAGAGCTGTTTGTAATATTCTCTGAAGATGGTTTGAATTTCTGTGGAATCTGTGGTGATTTCTCCTATATCGTTTTTTATTGCATCTATTTGGTTATTCTCTCTTTTCTTTTGTATTAATCTGGCTAGTGGTCTGTCTATTTTGTTGATCTTTTTGAAAAACTAGCTCCTGGATTTATTGATTTTTTGAAGGGTTTTTTGTGTCTCTATCTCCTTCAGTTCTGCTCTGATCTTAGTTATTTCTTGTCTTCTGCTAGGTTTTGAGGTTTTTTTGATCTTGCTCCTCTAGCTCTTTCAATTTTGACGATAGGGTGTCAATTTTTGATCTCTTCACTCTTCTCATGTGGGCACTTATTGGTATATATTTTCCTCTAGAGACTGCTTTAAATGTGTCCCAGAGATTCTGGTATGTTGTGTCTTCGTTCTCGTTGGTTTCAAAGAACTTCTTTATTTCTGCCTTCATTTCATTGTTTATCCAATCAACATTCAAGAGCCAGTTGTTCAGTTTCCATGAAGCTGTGTAGTTCTGAGTTAGTTTCTGAATTCTGAGTTCTAACTTGATTGCACTATGGTCTGAGAGACTGTTATGATTTCCGTTCTTTTGCATTTGCTGAGGAGTGATTTACTTCCAATTATGTGGTCAGTTTTAGAGTAAGTGTGATGTGGTGCTGAGAAGAATGTATATTCTGTGTATTTGGGGTGGAGAGTTCTGTAAATGTCTATCAGGTTTGCTCGTTCCAGGTCTGAGTTCAAGTCCTGGATATCCTCGTTGATTTTCTGTCTGGTTGATCTGTCTATTATTGACAGTGGAGTGTTAAAGTCTCCCACTACTATTGTGTGGGAGTCTAAGTCTCTTTGTAAGTCATCAAGAACTTGCTTTATGTATCTGGGTGCTCCTGTATTGGGTCCATATAAATTTAGGATCATTAGCCCTTCTTGTTGTATCTATGCTTTTACCATTATGTAATGTATTTCTTTGTCCCTTTTGATCTTTGTTGCTTTAAAGTCTATTTTATCAGAGACGAGAATTGCAACTCCTGCTTTTCTTTTGCTCTCCATTTGCTTGGTAAATCTTCCTCCATCCCTTTATTTTGAGCCTTTGTGTATCCTTGCATGTGAGATGGGTTTCCTGGATACAGCACACTGATGGGTTTTGGATTTTTATCCAATTTGCCAGTCTGTGTCTTTTGATTGGTGCATTTAGCCCATTTACATTTAGGGTTAATATTGTTATGTGTGAAGAACACAAGTGTTTAACCACCATGATGTATGAACTCTATCTAAGTGGGAGACACTGTGCCAAGCATTATAAACATTCAGATGAGGCATCTGATGTCTTAGCCAGCACTGAGCTCAGGGATTGAGCAAGGGAACCAACATACCAACAATAATATTGGAATCATGTAAGTGTTACAAAGGGTTAGATCAAAAGACATTTGATCATTAGCATTTAAATAAAAGGAAAAAGCTGCAGGCCAATTTATTCCCATAAATCGAACTTCTCATGTTGCCACGTTCCCTTCCAGGTCTTTTACCTGTACACACATCCTTTTTATATAAGTTTAGTTGCAGTTTAGATACAATTCACATTCTGATTTTTCATTTAATATGTGTTAAATCTATATGTGCCTTTCTGTAGCGCTTGTAAGACATTACATTTTGCTTAAGCAGGAAATATATCATCATTTTTTCCAGAATTCAAATATTTTTCATGCGATGTATCTTAGCAATCATTCATTGCTCCATCTCATAAATACTTAGCACTTACAATGTGCCAGCTAGCCTCTGAGGCCTTTAATAAGAAATCTGAACTCATTTTTTTGTAGGCTTTCTCCTGTAAGGATTTCTACCTTATTTCCTCCTTCTTCTTCTAGCCTTGGGAGAGTATCGACAGTGTGTCTTTGGGGCCTGTTGGGAGAAACCTCTCTTCTCAATTCTTTATTCGTATCAGAATTTTCTGGTTCCAGAATTATCCTTATAGCTATAAAGTAGCATTGATAGTCCCCCATGGGTAGGCAGCTACCGTCTGTCCCTGTTCTCTCTTCTCAGAAATCGTGTCGCATATCATTATCTTGTGGGGTAATTTGTGCTGAAGAAGGAAAGCCACATTGCTTTAAGCAAGTGGTTTTCAGATTGGATCACTTGTGCTGAAAATGAAATTGACACTAGGTTAGCAGCACAGGATGGTGGTTAAATGCTTGGGCCCGGGAGCTTGACAGGCTTGTTTTACATTCTTGCTGAGCAAGGAAGCTTAAAACCTCCTCAATCTCCGGGTCTTAGTGTCTTCATTCTTCTTACTTTACAAGGTTATTGATGAGATGGAATGAAATAGGGTAAATTAAGGATAAGAATAGTATCTGGCACAAAAGAAGAACTCAGTTTACATCAGCTTATGTTGTTGCTGTTGACTGAATAAGCTCAAGCTGGGACTGTAGATATTTTACACAAATGTCATTCACTGCAATTTAGTAACTAGCAGAAATCAATACAAACAAAAACAAAAAACAAAGTATTCTATCAACAATTATACAATGATGGGCATCAAGGAATTTTAGTAGTTATGTTTCATAAGTGAAACGCTTGTTAATGCCAATATTGTCAGGCTATGAATAACACACATATTAAAGGCTTACATTGTGGTATCTGGAGATCAGTATGGTGAATATGACTTAACTAGTAGTATACAATCCATGCAATAGTAAATGATAACAGGTTTCATTATACATTTTGACCAACACAACTGCTATAAAGACTACAAATTCAAAATACTGCTCTGAAAAACATGATTCCAAATTCACTATATGTTGACATTTTAAAAGGACTCTTAGAGATTAGTCTTACTCTCTTATTTTATAAATGAAATCATTTATTAAATATATGTTAAGTCAGTGAGTAAAGATGTTAAGTGAGTTGACAAAGTCGGAGTTAGTGGATAGTTAGTGGGCACTAAATCTAGGTCCTGAATGCTAATCTATGTTGTTATCATACTACATGAAGCTTCACATAAACAACATCAAATCACAAGTACAGCATACTCTCACCTTAGTGCAGGATGAACATGTGGTTCTCCATAGAGCTCATAAGTGTCACAGAATAATTTATCCATGCTCTAAAATGTCTACAAACATTGACTTTTATACTTATAAAAGTTTATCCTAGACATTCTCCACACATCTTCTCAGAAAACTTATTTACATATCCATATTTTTACTCACAAATGGCATATGTGTATGTGTGCTATATGAGTGTGGGTGTTATATATGTGTGTGTTTCGTACTTGGATGTTAATTTGCTGATCTCTCAATATAGGACTCATCTTTCTAACGTTCTAATGAGCCACCCCAAAACCCACCCATCTCCACATCTGCTGAACCCACCTCATTTCTACAGAGTCTTGGAATACTTGGAGGTTATGCATGTAAATGAAATATGTGGAAATAAATCTTTACTTAATATCTATTTTTTAAATACACATATGGTGACATTTTTTTCTTACTTTCTGCTACATAATGAGTAAAATATTTTCCCTCTCTTCTGCTCTGGTACACATGGAACTGGATATTCTCCACCATGAATGTCATAAGTTACACATATACCATCAACTAACCTACTGTGAGTCTCCACTCACCGTGGCTTCTCTTTTTAAATTTCAGCATATATCATTTGTATCATAGAATTTAAAATTAATTTTGCCTACTTATGACTGTTATGATAATAAAATTAGTTAACATTTATAAAGGGTTTAGAAAAATTATTGGTACATAGGACTATGATAAGTCAAAATTATTTGAGAATTCTATGACATTCTTTGGAATAATATAATCACTTTCAAGAATTATATAATCTGCCCACTGATCAGCAATGTACTTACATATTGACTTACCTAAACATATAGTTCAGCCCTTGCCTAAGCACAAGCACATCTTAATCTCTGTATAGATTTTTAACCCAGAAATACATGTATTCATCCCTTGGTACCTGTGGGGAATTGGTTTCAGGACTCCCTCACCCTCCTGCAGATACCAAAATTCACAGATGCTCAAGTACTTTATATAAAAAGGCATAGTATTTGCATATGTCCCACACACATCTGTAGTTATATTTAATTTATTTTGAAATCCTAAACTTCACTAAAGAGGAATGTAATTGCCCAGTGAAAATGTTATAAACATCCTCAAATGGTGTTTTACCTAATTTACTCTAGAAATAATATAAAGCTGCTTAAAAGGACATATAATATCCAACAACAACAAAGAAAAACAAAAACAAAACAAAGTTTTTAATGGATGACCTTGGATTTTTTTCCCCTATAAGAAGACTATGTTCAAGATATTGACTACTGTCAATACAATATAATTTTAAAGACTTATATGACAATTCTTTTTCTAGACATCAATTTTCATTCCAGCCTTTGGATCAGAAACTAAGGTCAGAGTAAACAGTAACATGAGAACTGAAGAAGTAATAAAGCAACTTCTCCAAAAATTTAAGGTAACCTTTATCACTTAACTGAGCTATAAGTATCTTATGTATAATTCAACTGTAAACACATAAATCCACTCTTCTGAAAAAGACCTATGAATGTGTAAATCTAAATTGGATGTTGAGTACTGAAAGATTCTTTCTTATGTCTAACACCTTTTAGTAACTAGCCCTTAAAAAATTATATAATTCCCATACAAGCAGAGAAGATTTTATATCTAAAAGTGAAAAATGGAAGAGAGAAAACAGACATGACTTGGGTCTTCTCCTGTTAGAAAACATCATATGACAGCAAAGAATTTATATTTGTTCATTTTTTCCATTGGCAGATTGAAAATAGTCCCCAGGATTTTGCTCTTCACCTTATTTTTGCAACTGGAGGTAAGAAAGCTTGATCGTACTTTGTACCTGACTCTAGAGTGTTAGTTTGCTGCCCAGGGAAAAGTCAGAATAGTTTACCTCATTCTGTGGAGGAAAGGGAAGAATGGGTAGGAGGAAAGGAAGGAGTGGTCTTTAAAACATTATCTATAGCCCACAATTTTAAAGAAAGATAACTTAATGGGTGTTGAACGATGAGAACATGCGGACACAGGGAGGGGAACATAACACACTGGGGCCTGGTGGGTGGGGGAATTGAGGAGGGATAGCATTAGGAGAAATGTCTAATGTAGATGACGGGGCAATGGTTGCAGCAAACCACCACCATGGCAAGTGTATACCTATGTAACAAATCTGCACTGCACATGTACCCGAGAACTTAATGTATAATAAATAATTTTTTTAAAAAAAGAAAGATAACTCAAAAATAAGGTATCCTTGATGGGTTTATTATATGAAAGAGTTTGCTTGTTGGCCAGACATTAAATTATCTGAATGGAGATTGGAACCCTCTGGAACTTTATGCACTTTTGTCTTTGCTCACCTCTGTAACTTTTTTTTGTCTTTCTTTTCTGAATGTCACTCTTAAAGGAGTCATGATTGCACACCTGTTCTCTCTGACATTGATATTGCCTCTTTTTTAGCACAGGGTCTGACCCATTGTGGGAGTGCTATCTCTTTCTCAGTAGAGATGCATGTTCAGAACTTTGTGGTGGGGGTAAAAGGTTAGAATCAGAACATTGAGAAGGCTCTATAAGTGGGATGCTAGGAGCAGGACATGATAGAGAGAATAGAGAAAAAGTGACACGGAAATGAAAGTTTTAAAACTTCACAAATAAAATATTTCATATGTCAATTTGTAGAAAAACTCGTGCTATAATTTAAGTGTCAGAATGTTTGAGCCAGAAATTTATTAGAATAAAATAATACATTTTGATGCCAGAACAACCTCAAGAAAATGAAAGATGTATCTCCAAACATATATAAAATTAAAGTTCTGATAAATTGAAGGCTTAAAGGTAAGATCCATATTTTGGAAAATTCTAAGGGCACATATATATTAATATTCTAGTTGTTTAAGAAAGAAAGAAAACCAAAAAATTTAAAATAAATGGCAGCAATATTGAGCTGTGTAACAATTTAAAAGATACAAATAGTAGATTATAAAGAATATTGCCGATGCTCTCCAAAGATTAATAACTATAATACCAAAAATTTCCTGAAAAATAATAACTAAAAACAAACCAAGAAAAATGGAAAGAAAGCATGAAAATACAATTCAAAGAAAAAACTAAAATAACGAGCTAAACATTTTTAGAAAAGTCTTAAACTCAATGAAGTGCAAGTAGCTAAGGAAATGCAAGCTCAAGCCACACTGTAATATTATGTTGCACTTATCAGATTGGCAACGTGCTTTCAAATGTCTACCCATGGTTGGCATGCATCCACGTAAAAAGATATTTTCATGCAACTCTGGTAAAAAATATTACTTTCTCTTTTTTGGAAATTGTTCTTGCAATATTTATTAAAATTTACAGTATACATGTCTTTAAACTCAGCCATTCCACTTGTGAGAATCTATCCCACAAAAAAAAAATGACAGCAAAACAAAGTTATCCTAGGGAAATGATTAAATAAACGAATATTATGCTGCCATTGAATGGGATGAATTCGATTTATGCCAATAGAATGGAGGGAATTCCATAATATATTTTAAGTGAAAATGTAAGATGCCTAAAAGTATATATAAAAGAACCCATTTTTTAAACAGTTATAAGTTCCTATTTAAATATATGGTATATATGATCATATGGCCAGGAAGAAAGATATAGAATGATAAAAACAAAACCACTGAGATGATTACCTGGTGGAGGATTGGGGAGATGCAGATGAGAGGATGGGAAGGGGGCTGGCAAGCATGGTGGCTCACGCCTGTAATCTCAGCAATTTGGCAGGACGGGGTGGGCAGATCATTTGAAGTCAGGAGTGCGAGACCAGCCTGAACAACATGGTGAAACCCATCTCTACTAAAAATATGAAAAAAAAAATTGCGAAGTGTGGTGGAACGCACACACTTAAAATATATTATGGACACTCAGGAGGCTGAGGCAGGAGAGTCGCTTGAACTCAAGAGGTGGAGGTTGCAGTGAGCCGAGATTGCGCCACTGCACTCCAGCCTGGGCAACAGAAAGAGCCTCCATCTCAAAAATTAAAAAAAATATGATTTTTTAAAGGTGTGTACAATAAACATAGCAAGCACGATATGATCACCTATACGTATTATGCGTTTGTGTGTGTGCATAGAGTTGTGTGAAGAGGACACTTAAAGGGTAATGCGGAGTCTCTCAGGGTTCAGGAATTCCAGGCGTGTTTTACTTTCTGCTTTATACTTTTCTCATTTATTCCAGTTACAATAGCATGCAAGTTTGGGGAAGGGGATTTTTTTAAGGTTTAAAAAAAAGCAGTTTTATTAAGAAGTCTTAAAGGATTGTGTGGCCACTTGCTAGGTTGTACAAGAAAAGATTTGACAATTCCCCCTTTGATGTTCTCCAAGACTTGGATTCCATTCATGTTCACCTTATTCTTTCCTCACACCTTTAATTTCAGCCTGCATTTGAGCAGAGATATGGCTTAGTTTCCTGCCAATCATTCTTGAGCTCCACACAGAGTGCTGGACCTATGAACAAACAAGTGTGTTGCTTTCATAAGCTGAAAAAAATAAATCTATTTTCATTGTAAAAAAATGTAGTTCTTTATAATCTCACCTGTGAAAATCCCATTTTCTTTTATATTTTGTGTCAAAATTTTATATATATCCATAACTGAGGATGATAATAACTCAGACTCTTTAGGGACCAGAAAAAGAGGAAAGAAGAGATCACAGGGCTCCTGTTCGGGCAGTAATCTGGTAAATAGAGATGGATGGGTTTTAACTTTATATCTACAAAGCCCATTACAGTGTATCTCACATTGTAGTTTATTTCAGATTACCCATAGAGTTCATTTGAAATACAGATTCCCAAACCTTTCCAGATCAGAGGACAAGTCTGGTAATATGAATTTTTAAATAATCATCCCAGATGATCATAAAACAGAATCACGAAGCAAGAAACCATGCTAAGTTAAGATAAAAAACGGAACAAACTGAGGATGCTAAACCAAGTTAACACTGGACGTGAAGGTTAAAAGAGGATCTGGCAGGTGGATGGGAGGAGCTAAATTGTCAAGGCTCCCAACTGCTTCAGAAATGGCAAAGGAATTAAAACAGTAAATACTGACACTGTGAGACCAGGAATGGGTAATGTCAGTTTAACTGTGGGGAGGCTGGGATTTTGAGTTCTAGACTCTCTCTTGACTTTTCTCCTGGGATAAGTCCAGCTCAAGGAATGAGAACTGTTCTCACTGTTCTGAAGAAAGTAAGCAAAGGGAGGGAAAGAATGAGGAAAGATGACAAATATAAGGACACTGTTTTGTTTGTGCTTCATCCTGATAAAAATGAAATCCCAGATGTGAAACTACTTTGACAGAAAGCTAGAAGTACTTTTATAGGAGGAGTATTTATATTATAACTTTTGGAAATTTGAAGTTCTGGAAACACACCGGATTGGAAGGTATTTTCTTTTTCTATACCATTTTCGTAGCTGAATGGATGAAGACCATGGATGAATGAATAATAAGAATATTATTGATCTCAAAAACCTCGGGAATATAAATTTAAAGATGAGCCGAACATTGGGTGTGGGGTGAGACAAAGGAAGAATTGAAGATAATTACATGGTTTTGGAGCTAAACAACTGGAAAGATGGAATTACTTCAGCTTTACTTGGAAAGAACCAACAAATATTTGTTGTATGGGTGAAGGAATCCTGAAATAAAAACTAAATAATTACGAAGCATGCAACTTAATAAGTGGCCTGTAAGACTGGAGATTTGTTTGAACATTCTAATCAAAGCAAGGTTGAGTTCTTGGAAATATTAAGTCAAACCATGAGATATAGTAAGCGAAAGAAGTTCATTGACATTTTAATTTCAATTTGCTTTTTAAAGTAAACTGCCTCCTGTTTCAGGTGTTATTTTTTTTCAAAGTAAGTTAAATAAGAAAAATAAATTGGAAAATTGTCTTCCTTCTTTTCCTCTAGCATGAACTTCTGATTGTGACTGATTCTTGTTTTCACTCCAGAACAGAGACGACTAAAGAAGACGGATATTCCCCTACTGCAGAGGCTCCTTCAGGGACCCTCTGAAAAAAATGCTCGCATTTTCCTCATGGATAAAGATGCAGAAGAAATTAGCAGTGATGTATGAATACCATCACCCTGAATCTATTTTTTGCTTCCCTCCTGACTCAGCACCTCTTACATAATTGTTCTGCTTTTTTTTTCCTTAGGTTGCTCAGTACATTAATTTTCACTTTACTCTCTTGGAATCCATTCTTCAAAGATTAAATGAAGAAGAGAAAAGAGAGATTCAGAGAATAGTAGCAAAGTAAGTCAAGGGCGTGCACATTGGATACTTGGTTCTTTAATAGCTCCAATGTGCAAAACATGTCCAATTTTTAATAGTCTTTCTTCTCATTTTCAGATTCAATAAAGAAAAGGCTATTATACAGAAATGTCTTCAAAATAAACGGGTAATAAAAACAGAGACAACAGTTTAGCAGTACAGGCTGCTATTGCTAAAACACTTCAAGAAACTGAGAGAGAGATTACTATTTGATGAGTGCATAAGTTCTGTACTTGCATTTATACAAATATATATGAGACTTGACTCTGTAGAAAATTGAATGTCAAAAAAGCTTGTTTCTGTTTGAAGTGATGAGGTTAACTAGGGTTCACAGTTGGACTAAAATGAGCTTCAGTTCAGTTTCAGTAACTGAAATAAGCTTGAATACTGTGCATTCCAAAGAGCTTTTATAGTAAAACTTGTAATGAACTCAAATTTAAATTGTGTCCTAAGCCATTTAAACTGCAGTTAGCTTAGACTCTGAAGAGAACTGAAACACAATCAATGGATTTAGAAATGACTCAGGAAAAAGAAGCTGCCAGTTCTTGAAATGAAAAAGAAATACAGTTTTATACCATCAAGGAATGAAAAAGAAATACAGTTTACACCATCAAGGAATCTATCTGATGGTGACAGGGTTTCACAGCTTCTTGAAAACTCTGGCATTTTCATAAAATCTAGGACTATATTTACATGGCCTGTTGATTTCTGGCTATCTGTAACATCAGAGCTATCTGGCCTTTGGAAAGGAAAAGATTATGGACTCTGTAAAGAAATCCTAATTGAAATTTTCTAAGCCTCCCCTCAACCCTTTTTTTTTCCTCTCTCTTTGCTCTACTGATGAAAGAACTAACATCAGTTCTAAACTTTTCTTAAGCTCTTTTTTAAATTAGTTGAACTTTTTCTTTATTTCTCAAAAAATATGTGCATCACATAGACATATTACATCAGCTAAAGCAAGACTTGGCCCACAAATACCTATTTGTTACTGAATAAATACAAAGGAAAAAGCAAGGCTGTTGTAGCTGAAGTTAGGCAGAGAATAACAAACTCTGCCCTCTTAGCATTTTCTTATGCTACATGACAACCCTCAAGGTACTTACAGGTCTGCTTAACCCACTAAAAAAAACTCTAAGAATAAAGAAATTCTATAGGTATCATCTATGATTTTATTTATAAATTCTATATCAAAATGGAATTACATGTAACATTCTTTCATTCTGTAAACTAATTCTATTTGCATTCCTCATAAGCAATGTAGTGAACTGTTTGATCATGTTACATGTACTAAGGAATAAGATTATATGCAATAAACCCAATTGAAAGATTAATAATATTAAAATTTGAAACATTTTTAAGACAAAAGCATTCCTTCTCAGTATTCAAACCTAAACAGGATGAAGGTGAAAGTGTACTGTAGCTTTTACGAGCCTAAGAAGTCTCCCTTACAAACTCAATCAGAGGCATGCATCTTTATTCTTTTACCTGTCAATTAATAAGAAAATAGTCTCATCTCACTAAAATAAGGCAAATGTAATCGTTAAAATTCAACATACTTATAAAAAAATTAAAGTAGTGTCAAGTACCTGCCATGAACATGATAAAAGATTAATCTTTATAGACTGAAAAGTGTAAGAAAAGCACCAAGTCTTACACATGTGGAAAAAAATCACAGAAGAGAAAATGTAAATGGTACTAAGTATATGAAACAAGTCATATCTTAATAGTGATCAACTGTGTTAGTCTGTATCAATCAGGAGACAGAAACAATGCAACATACAGGGAAAGTTTAATATAGATCATAGTGAAGCTATGATAGGAGAGAGAAATAAAGATGGAAGGAGAAGGTACCCTAAGGCTGAGAGAAAGAATTCTAAAAAGGAAAAGCAGGAATGAGGGTTTCAGAATTCAGTGGAGAACGTGTGGTTGCAGCCCGCTGGAGAGAAGTTTTCTGGCTTGTCCAGGCCAGTGCAGGACTACAGGTACCAGACAAGCAGGTATAAATAACCCTGTGGGTGTGGACCAGCTGAGGCAGGTGGGCACATATGCAGAGGGACCTGGGGCTTTGCCAAAGGGTGAGCACAAAGGAGTCAGGGGAAGTGCTCCAGGTACTATTGAAACTAGAAGCCAGAGGGGCCTTCTTTACAGGAACCTAGCACAACTTTGTGTGTGACTTGAGACTGAGCAAGACAAAGCTCAGGCAAGTGGCTCAGTAGCTGGCCAGCCCAGCATGGTCCTCTATATGACTGTGCACCCAGCTGAGGACAAGAGATGGAGAACAGCAACTGGAGCTTCAAGGCAGGCTTGCATTGTGGCTCCAGGTGATACCACCACTGCCCAAAGCAAAAGCTGGAGAAGCAGGTGGAGAAATGCTGGAGAAAGCGGTCTCAAGTCACACACAAAGTTGTGCTAGGTTCCTGCAAAAGCGGCCCCTCCCGTTTTTACTTTCAATAGCACCTGCAGCACCTCCCCTGACGCCTTTGTGCGCAGCCCGGAGGAATCAGACAAGACCACTTCCTCTTGTAGTGTGTCTCCAGCGCCCTCTACTGACAAAACATGACATCATGCAAACTGCAAAGAAATATTTAAAGGGTCTGTATTTATTATCACAGAGCAGGCAACCAACAGTGAATTTGGAGCTGCGAAGCAGCAAAACAATAACTGGCATACCAATTAAGTACAAAGTAAAATACATACATACATACATACATACATACATACATACACACACACACACACACACACACACACACACATTTTGGCCTATTAGCAAAGATTAAGAAATGATAACATTAAATAATAAATCACACTGAGATGGGAACTCAAACTTCTGGTAAAAATACAAATGGATATGATTTTTCTTGAAGGCAACTTAGTAATCCATTTATCCTATAATTCTACTTGTAAGATCCTAGCATATGGAAATAACCAGAGATACAAGTACTTTTCTGCAAAGATGTTCTATATTATTTATTGTGACGAAAGGAAATAAAAAGCCTAAGTGCTCAGAAAATTATTCGAAAAGAAGAGAGGGAGAAACAGGCCATGCACAGTGGCTCATGCCTGTAATCTCAGCACTCTGAGGGAGGCAGAGGCGGGCAGATCACTTGAGGTCGGGAGTTCGAGATCAGACTGACCAACATGGTGAAACCCTGCCTCTACTAAAAATACAAAAAATTATCCAAGTGCAGTGGCAGGCACCTATAATCCCCGCTACTCGGGAGGCTGAGGCAGGAGAATCATTTGAACCAGGGAGGCAGAGGTTGCAGTGAGCCAAGATAGCACCACTACACTCTAGCCTGGGCAACAGAGCAAGATTCTGTCTCCAAAAAAACAAAAAAGAGGGAAATAAATGTTTATTTGTATAATGTTATATAGCCATTAAAATTATGTTTCCAAATAATTTTAATTATGGGGTAAATTCTTAGATATCTAAGTAAGAATATATGCATACACATATTCCAAAATATTTGTTATATAATTAAGGCATGTATACTATGTATATGTATATATATAAAATATATTTATGTGTGTGAACACTAATATTTGCATATATACACACAAGAAACAAAAACATATTAAAAGTGGCTATACCTGCATTGTAGAATTATGAGTGAGTCATGTTTTTCTAATTTCCCTATATTTATTAAGTGTTCTATTATACTTGTTACTTTTTAAATCAGGAAATAGTAAAGTTATTATTTAAAAGTTGTCAACAAAAAGTAACAAGAACATGCAAGCACAGAATTCTACTTAATGCAAAAAAATTCAAATCAATTTTTCAAATGAGACATTAACATCACTTCTGTGATAGTTTTATATCCATAAAATCTTTAATTCTCTTCCTTTGAAGAGATGGAGGCTAATCCTCCTCACCCTGCAAATGGGCTGGACTTAGTGACTTCTTTTTATTTTCTTTTTAATTGACAAATAATAATTGTATGTATTTAAGAGGTACAATATTATATTGTGATATGTGTATACATTGTGGAATTCTTAAATCAAGCTAATTAACATATCCATAACCTCATATACTTATCATTTCCTTGTGGTGAGAACATTTAAAAATGTACTTTTTAAGCAATTAGAGACTTACTTCTAACAAACATAGGAAAGTGGAAGAAACTGAGACTTTGAAGAGTAGGTCATAAAAGTCACTGTGGCTTCCTCCTTGCTTTCTCTTGGATCACTTGCTCTGGGGAAAGTCAACTGCCATGTCCTAAGCAGCCCTGGAAAGACCTACTGAAACCTTCTGCCAAATACCAGCAGGGAATTGAGGCCTCCTGTCAACAGCCATCTTAGAAATGGATCTTCTAGCCTCAGTCAAGCCTTCAGATGACTGCAGCCCTGACTTATAGCTTGACGGTAACTTCATGAGAGACCTTGAGTCAGAAAACCCAAGGAAGGCATTCTGGATTGCTCATCCGAGAAACTGTCTGAGATAAGAATTGTTTGTTGCATGCTGCTAAATTTGGGATGATTTGTTACATAGAAATATATCTCATACAATTTCTGAGAAAAATAGTTTATTTTAGAATCATTTTTGCATAATGCAAGAATATTAACTTGTCACAGAATCATTTATCCTTGTTTTAGGTGGTCCAAATATTTCATTGTTAGTTACATATTACTTTAAATTACATTATAGATAATATGTATTATTAATGGTAAAAAATGTGTCACAGTCATCTTTTTATGCTTTTCTGTACTTAATATTGTGTCTTGTACATAATATTGTGTCTTGTGAGAGAAATACTCAATAAAAATTGATTTAATACATAAGTGAATGAAAGAATAAATGAATGAGTGAAGGAATTACCTGAAATATTTTTATAAAATTCCCTGTATGTATGTATCACTTATTACAAGTCTGATCCTGTAGCTGAAAAAATATTTAATATTTTATATATATGGTTTGCCCTGATATAGTGGTATATTTTATTATCTCTTGGCTCTACTATGAAATATTCAGTTAGGTGTTGTTACTGTTCAATTTGGTTTAGGGCTAGTTAGGTTGGTTTTTTTTTTAACTGAAGAGGAAAGAAGCCCCTTGCAATGCAGTTGATGAAGTGGTGAAGATAGCGGTATAACTATTAGGTAGAGTCATATATATGGGAAAAAAGAGAAAGAGGATGTAGTTAGGGAGGGCAAAACCTTTTAATGACAGTCATTTGTCTTCTAAATTAACAACATCTAATACCTATTAGATTGAGCCTTTTGCAATTGCCAATATTTGACCTACAAAGGCAATGTATTTATATTGTTCAAACTAATAACACTTATTTTCTGGGCACTATGTTTACTACTCATTACAATTCCATGTGGAAATTAATCCTTCAACCTCATACTATAGATAAAGAAAGTAAGCCATGGAGAAATTAGGAGATTTGCCAAGGTTTTTCATAGAAGAAACAGGTAGGATTTAAACCTTTGGCCCCAGAAGCCATACAGTTAACCACTATAACCTGTGGCTTCCCCCTAAACTGTGCCTCCTAAATCTGGCATTCCATAATGTGTACTCATTTTTCAAGTGTAATAATAGTACCTACTTCACTGGACAGTTGGGGGAGTTATAAGAATAACACATGCAAAGGCTGGCACTTCGCACATAAGAATGTAATATAATCATAATTATGTTATAATTAAACTTCAGTAAATCCCCAAACGCCACTGTAGCCTTAACTTCTACTAAGTCTTACTGCCCACAGCTACTTCATTTTTGTCTTAAAACCAGCCAAACTAAATCACTCAGCCTTCTCTCTTTCTAGCACATCTCTTTCCCATTTTCTAGTCCCTGGTTAGGGTCATTTCTTCCATGACTTTTCCTGCTCTCTGTGACACTGTGTGATCTCAGGCTCTTGTGTACCACACTTTCAGTTAGCTCTGCTCTTGTGACACCAGAATTTTGAAATTTGCCTTTTATCATAATTCTTTAATGTTCATGAGTAATCTGGTGCATTTATCATAATTCTTTATGTGCTGATATCTTGTATAAATGCATTAGTAATCTGGTGCATTTATCACAATTCTTTATGTGCTGATATCTTGTATAAATGCGTTAGTAATCTGGCACATTCATATTCGTGTTTATATTGTTCCCCGTGGTAGCTAGCACAGTGTATTGAATGGATTAGGTACTCAGCAAATGTGTATTGATTTAATTTATTAATGCGTATGAATGTGTTGAAGACACTCAAGCAGGAAAAATAATTACTTAAACTCAAGGAAAGGGTATTAAAATGATAATTTAATTTTTTCTATGTTCCTCCAATCAAAATAATTTATTTAAGTATGTATGTTTACTTTATCTTTTATGCAAAAATATCTGGAAAAATAAAAACAAGTCCAAATGATACACACCAGTTCTTTATGTCATTTGCAGAAGGATTTCCATAGAAAAAAAATACTGTTACAAATCATGGCTTCAAGCTCAAATTAATTCAAATGCATTATATTATAGTGGTGCCAATACAGTTTCACATATTTAGGGTAAAGATTAAAGGTGAAACTGTTATGAAGGTACCATTACTTTGAAGCTTATTTCATTCAATTTGCCAAAACACACTTTTGGTATTCTCATAGACAAATATCCAAGTGGCTTTTAGAGTTTTGTTCACTGTGGAAACTTGGCAATTTGCAGCTTGGTGTGGCAGCCCATCACATCTACCTGAGCCCTTTGAAAGCTGTTTGATTTCATGTTTCTGTTTCTGCTCTTGAGAAGCAGAAAGCTTGTTGAGAGAGAGGGGTAATTATGGTGGGTTTTCTGAGGTTTGCAATAATCAGATTTCTCTGCTGGGTAGGAAAAGAGAGTTTCAGTGTAGACTAGCCGTGTTCTTGAGCAACGTTGTGAGCATGTAAAAATTTATTTTGTTGATTCTTATTTTGAATATTAGACATGTTCCATGATTTACAAAAATAAATATAGATCTCATCAAAGATCCTACATTGACATTCCCTTGGATCATTTAACCTCCTCATAGACATTAGTCCTTTTTGATCCATTTGGACCCTTTGGAAAAGCAAATAAATAAGCACATTTGTGAGGAAAAGCAAAAGAGAGAGAGAGAGAGAGAGAGAGAGAGAGAGAGAGAGAGAGAGAGAGAGAGAAAGTAAAACCTAAATAGGTATGATCGCAAAATAGAAAAATCTCTAAGACTTGGCTGGGAGGGGCAGAGCAAGATGGCCAAATAGAAGTCTCCACCAATCAGTCTTCTCCACCAATCAAACAGAAACACCAAATTTAACAATGAGCTACCCACATACACAAAAAATAAAAAATAAAAATAAACCTTTATAAGAACCAAAAATCAGAAGAGCAATCAAAATACCTGTTTTAATTTCAGATCACTAAAAGAGGCATTAAGAGGGTAGGAAAGACAGCCTTGAATTGTAGAAACCATTCATCCTCCACCGGTCAGCAGCAGCCACATGGTGTGGAGAATCTGTGCACGTTGGGGAGGAAGAGCACAAGGATTATGAGATTTTACATTTAACTCAGTGCTGCCTTGTCACAGTGGAAGGCAGAACCAGACCGAATTCAGCCAATTCCCACCCATGGCAGGAGCATTTAGATCAGCCCTTGCCACAGGGAAATTGCTCATCTCAGTAGTTGGAATTGGAGTTGCAGCAAGCCTCACAACCACGGGTTAAAATGTTCTGGGATGCTAAATAAGCATGAAAGGCAGTCAAGACCACAAGGATTGCAACTCCTAGGCAAGCGTTGTGCTGGGGTCAGAGGCAGTGGATTTAGGTAGCACACAACCTTGTGAGACACCAGCCAGGGTGGCTAAGGGACTGTTTGAACACTCCTCTCCCAACCATAGGCAGCACAGCTGGAAACAACTCAAGTGACTCCTTCTTGTGCTTGAGGAGAGGAGAGGGAAAACTAAGAAGAACTTTGACTTACATCTTGGATACTAGCTCAGCCACAGTAGGATAGAGCACCAGGCAGTCATGAAACCCTCATTCCAGGCTCTAAATCCTGACATTTCTAGACACGCCAGGGGCCAGAAGTGAACGCACTGCCTAGAAGAGAAGTATCTAATGATGGCAGGATCCATCACCTGCTGTCTAAAGAGTCCCTAGGTCCTGAATAACCAGCAACAATATGCAAGTCCCATGCTGTGGGTTTCAGACTCTGAAATTTGCTGGCTTCAGGGGAGACTCAGCACGTTCCTAGCTGTGGTGGCTATGGTGAGAGACTCCTTCTGTGTGAGAAAAGCAGAGGGAAAAGTAGAGGGGACTCTGTCTTGTAGGAGCTTGGCCACAGTGGAGTAGAACATCAAACAGGCCTGTGGGGTCCCAGTTTTAGGTCTTGACACTTGGACAGCATTTCTGGACTGGTCCTGGGCCAGAGAGAGCCCACTGTTCTGAATGGTGAGTCATGGGCCTGGCAGCTTTACCACAAGCTGACAGAAGAGGCTTGGGCCTTAAATAAACATCAGTGGTAACCTGGCATTAGTCCCTGTAGACCTGTGGTGGTGGTGACCACAGAGAGATACTACTTTGCCTGTGGAAAAAGGAGAGAGGAAAGGGATAGATACTGTCTCATTATTTGAATGCCAGTTTAGCCACAGAATAAAAAGCTTCTGGTAGATTTCTAAGGTTTTTGACTCTAGGCCTTGGCTTCTGGACAGCATCTCTGGACTTGCTTGGGGCCTGGAGGAGCTCACCACCATGAAGGGAAGAACACAAGCCTGGCTGGCTTCACCATCTGCTGATTATACAGCCCTTGGGCATTGAGTGAACAAAGGCGGTAGCCAGGTGGTAACTACCATGGACATTGGGTAAGACCTAGTGCCCTGCTGGCTTCAGGGCTGAGGAAGTGCAGTCGAGTAGCGGTGGCCACAGGTGTGCTTGTGTCATTCTACCCCAAGCTCCAGGCAGCTCAGCACAGACTGTTTGTTTGGGAAAAAGTAAGGGAAGATAATAAGAATCTATGCCTGGTAATCCAGAGAATTCTTCTGGATCTTATCCAAGACCACCAAAGCAATACTTCTACAGGTTGGCAAGAACCACAGCATTGCCAAACTTAGGGTGTCCTCTAATGCAGATGGGCTTAAATCACAACACTCAAGTCCATTTGAATACTTGGCAAGGCTTCTCAAGAAGGATGGGTACAAATAAGTCCAAACTTTAAAGACTACAATAAATAACTAATTAACTAATGTCCAGAGACTGACAAACATACACAAACGTCAACCCCAGAGAGGAAAATATGACCTCCCCAAATGAACTAAATAAGGGACCAGGGACTAATTCTGGAGAAACAGAAATATGTGACTTTTCAGACAGAGAGACAGAGAATGCAAACGAGTTGTTTTGAAAAAACTGAAAGAAATTAAAGATAACAAAGAGTAGGAATTCAGAATTTTATCAGTTAAATCTAACAAAGAGATTAAAATAATTAAAAACAATCCAAAAGAAATTCTGGAGATCGAAAATGCAACTGACATACGGAAGAGTGCATTAGAGTGTCTTAACAACAGAACTGACCAAGAAGAAGAAAAAAATGAAACACAGATACAAGATCTAGAAAAATAAGCTCAAAAGGGAAAATTTAAGACTTGTCCTTAAAAAGGATGAAGAGAAAGTGATGGGGATAGAAAGTTTATTCAACAGAGTAATAACAGAGAAATTCCCAAACCTAGAGAAAGATATTAATATCTATGGACAGAAAGGTTATAGAACACCTGACAGATTTAACCCAAAGAAGACTACCTCCAAAGATTTAGCAATCAAACTCCCAAAGGTCAAGGGTAAAGAAATGATTCTAAA